TCCACACTGTCACAGGGACGATCTGCATCTTAATACAGTATACCAGACTATCACTGGGACGATCTGCATCATGATACAGTATTCCACACTGTCACTGGGGCGATCTGCATCATGATACAGTATACCACCTGTACCACTGGATCGTGGTGCACCCCACCATCTCTGGGGCTATTTAGAGCAATGACCCGCACATACTGCAGGGTGTGGATCGCAGTCGGGTGGCCAGTCTAGTGGATGCAGGACTGTGGCTGAAGTGCCTGAGACAGACCCTTGTGTAATAGATGGGTAGGTCACAGGCGGAGTGTGAGGTGTTACTACAGAGCTCTCTTCATGACACCATCTGTGAGCGGCAGGCCAAGCAGGTGTCTGTTAGTGCGACGTGTAGCTCCTAACTCGTGTTCCCATGGGCGTCATGAAGGCCGCTCGGCGCCGGCCCAGTCAGAGCTGTGGGCCCAGCCGGGCCGGTCTTCCTGCTGCATTTCCAGGGCTGTGTTGCACAGAACCATCCTCGTCACACAGCTCACTGGGAAATCTCTCCCTACTCCAGGGACAAACACTCACCATGATTCCTTCCGTTCAGATTTAGGATTTGGGGAAGACTTCTCTGGTCCCCAACTCCCAGCAGCAATCTGACTTTCACCTTTACACCTTCATTAGCTGCGATTTTAAACAAAAGGCCTTCTCTATCTGCTCAGCCACCAGAGAGTCCCGATTCGTTAAACTTTCTGCTAGTTTTTTTTTAAAACACGCACACGCACACGCACACGGGCTCAAGCCATGCGTGACAGAACAGTTGCAAAGAAGACCAGTCGCACAATACAGCTCCTGACAGTGAGGCCTTCCCAGGTCACAGCAGGGCTCATCAGAGAGACCCTGGAGGAATGCCAGTCTTATCAACGAGAAAACGCGCAATTGATAAGACACTCTGTGAGCAGGGTCTTCAGGAAGTCAGAAGCAAATTACACAGCTAAAAGGAAAGTTGTGTAAGGGAAAGTGCTGGTATGCACTATATTTGAGTAATTTGGGTTGAATAATTTAATTGCATTGTACTGCGATTTGAGATTGGTTCTTTTAAAGTGCATTATAAGTAAAATGTGGGCCCTGACTAGCTCAGCTGGTAATAATAATAATAATAAACTTTATTTTATATAGCGCCTTTAAAGGTGGCTTCTCAAAGCGCTTTACAGGATGACAATAACAATAAATAAGAAGA